ATTTTACTCATGCCTGGGTAGATGCCAATGAATGCTTTGTCCCTCCTGAATGATGCACACTTTGTATTGGCAATTTCCAGCATTATTCCTCATTAGTACGTAGCTTGTTGAAAGTTAACAAACTCTCCCAGTTTGTGCCAGCTTTTAAAATCACCTAGAATTTGGAGAATTATCATTCATGACTGCAGACTGGCTGAAAAAAGTGAATCAGTCCATTCCAATCCCTAAAAAGCAAACCAGGAGAAGTATGTTATGTGTCCAATCTGATTATGTGTTTCTATGTGAGAAACAGACCATTTAAGGACAAATTACAATGACTACATTACACTTGTGCCTTACTATGTTCATTGTTATTGTTAAGTGCCATCAAGTTGGTTGCAACTGATAGCGACACTGTATAGGATTTGTAAGGAGCAGTTGGTGAGTTTGAACTGTCAACCTTGAATTTCAAACTGACCTTGCAGTCCAGTGTTTACCCTATAGTGCTGTACCAGAACTCCTTTACCATGTTTAGATGGTTGGAATACGTGGGACCAATGCACTCTGGGCACCCCTGGAATTCCCTTAAGTACTCATTCATATAATGGTAGCTTACAATGAAGTGCTGTTGTTGTTGTTGTTAAGTGCTGTTGAGTTGGCCACAACTCATAGGGTTTCTGAAGAGTGACTGGTATTTTTCAATCATTGACTTTGCAGTTAGCAGTCTGGTACTTAAACTACAGTGCCCCACCAAGACCCTCTTTTAATCATAGTACTTATTATTATGTTGTTGACTTTATGGCTAGCAGTCAGGGTGAATTGATCATGGTTGGGGATTGTTGTTAAGTGCTGTGGAGTTGGTTCTGACTCAGAGTGACCCTGTATAGAGTTTCCAAGGCTTTAAATCTTTGCAGAAGCAAAATGCCTCATCTTTCTCTCACGGAGCTCTGACAGTCTCAAATGGCAGACCTTGTGGCTTGCAGTCCAGTATTTATCATACGGAGCCACTACACTCCCATGGTTAGGGATAGTAACTTGAAATTACTACCCATAAACAAGAGAGAACTTGTCTTCTCTGATAATCCCATTACTGATAGGCCTGAATGGAGTTGGGCATTTCTTTGGACATTTGTCCCTATTTATAATATATTCCAGAGTTCTGATGTGGTGCTGTAGGGTAATGCACTGGACTGTAAGTTAGGTTTGAACTGCAAGGTCAGCAGTTCAAGCTTACCAGCCACTCCTTGGAAACTCTATATATGGTTGCTATGAGTCAGAACCAACTCGATGGCAATTAAAAACAACGATATATTCCAATAAGAAAATATTTTGCAATTTGCCTGCTGTCATGACTCAAATTGCTGACAATGTTGCTGATGGAATAGCAGTTCAGCAGAAATCCTTAGACTCTCTTGCCAACATTGCCTTAGGTAACAGAATAGCTCTTAATTTTCTCCTAGCTCAACAAAGAGGAGTTTGTGCTATTGCCAACACCTCCTGTTGTTCATGGATAAATACCTCTGGACAAGTAAAACAAGATAACACTAATGTTATTCCTCCCATGATCATTCTTTCCTTCTTTGATATTTTAAGCTAGTGTCTACAAAGTACCGGATCTTGTTAATGTTCTTTTTAAACTATTTTGTTTATTCCCTTAAATCACTGTTGTTAAGTGTTGTCGAGTTGGTTCCAACTCATAGTGACACTGTATAGGGCTTCCAAGGAGTAGCTGGTGGATTTGAGTCACCAACCTTGCAGTTGTGCTTATCCTATAGCGTTATACCAGGATCCCCTTTTAATTGTAATATATATTATTATGTTGTTGTTGTTAAAGTGCAGTTGAGTCTGTACCAACTCATTGCAACTTGTGTAGGGTCTGGTGTGTTTGAACCACCGACCTTACAGTTAGCAGTCCAGTGATTATCCTACAGTGCCATACCTTATTAAATGTATTATGCACTGCAGCCAACCCTTGAACTGTTAGTCATGCAACCAGTCATATATTTAGAAGAAATTCATTTTATCATGAAGAATGAATTTTAGTTCAGAGCCTTTTTAGAAATGTCAAGGTATTCCTCTAATGTGATCTTGTCTGCAATACTTTCCCCAACCAGACTTAACACACCCGAAAGATGAGCCCTAAAGCTATGGCAAAGTGAGGAAGAAAACGAACCCAATAACCCTAAGGTATAATATAATGTCAACATTTTGGACCTTCAATATACATATAACCCTTGAAGAAGGAAGGTAACTCCATTGTGGGCGATAGCCTGAGTGGTCTGTGTCCCCTAGAGGTGACTTGATCAAAAGCAGGAAGTGTATTAGCAGACTCCAAAATATGAGGCACCTGGCAAAGCTAGAATAGCTAACCCAGACAAATCAGACTGCATTTTGATTCACTCACTAAAACCTTGGCTCTATTCCTGTTTATCACATGACTCTTTGCTTATCTGTAATTTATGGTTGAAACAGAGCCTATTATTTTAAGATAAGGAGGAAGGGACCAGATATACATTGTTACAGAAAGTTTACCCAGATGTTCTCAGAAGAATGATTTGTTCAGAATGTCCCAGGATGTCAAAAAAATCAAATTACCAGTGTGAAGACTGTTAAGAAAGAGTGTGGTCTGACAGCCCCTTTGTGGTTTTTGCCATGCACTCCTCTCACGCCTATAAGCACTTATCCTTTATTTACACCAATGTATTAAAAGCATCACTAACCGTCCATACTTTGGAACATTATTGTACTCTGTTTGAGTGTAACAGTGGCTTCTGATTTGCTTATCTCTCTATTCCTAAATAAAACTCTTCACTTTCACTTTTAACAGATTGTAGACCTGGTGTTTCTTCTTCATTGTTTAGTTAAAACCAAGGTACCAATACTGTTTTATTGGTTGTAACAAATGGACTACAGGAATGCAAGATGCTAATGACAGGAAAAACAGCATCTGGGGACCCCGGAAACTGTACTCTCGTACAATTTTGTTCTGTAAAACTACTATAAAAATAGTTTTGTGTTTTTTTTTAATGCCTTGACTGTGGTGGGGAATATGCTGTAGTGAGGGAGGGACTCTAAAGATCTAGTTGGGGGAGGGGCATTAAAGTCATTTGCATCAGAAATACAGTCATTAATGCTCCAGACTTATATCTCAAGATTTTGCAGCATGGTGGTCCATGAGTTGAAGAGAACCAGCCATTATCTTGCCAGACCCAAATACCCAGTTTTACTGAACTTTTATTGAGTTTATTTGTGGGATGCATGACAGGAAGTCTTTCAACCATTAGTAAGAAAAAAAAAATCATTTTCACAGTCACTTTGGCACACACGAATGTTGTTTCAAAAAAAAAAAAATCAGAAAAGCAACAACAATGGAACCTATATAACACGTCATTAAATACATACAAAACACTAATAAAATATCCCTGATAAACCAAAGTGCATATAGACAGCACAATGCCCAGGACTGGATTGCACCTTCCCCGGAGTCATACGAGTCCCTCACATGGCCTGGTCCACGTTAGAAGTTAACAGTCGTGAGGATTAGTATGCAGTTACACACCGAGTATTTACATAACAGTAATTAGTGCCGTGTGGGGGTGGGGTGGGTTAGGGAGGATGGTAAGGGGATGATCAGGCTGGTGCAGCAAGAGGTCCAGCAGGGATGACATATTTACTGATAGGAGGCTGCTGGGGGGAAGGAGGCCTGTGGCGACTGAAGGAATGACAGGTCAGAAGTGCTACATTGGTTACAGCTAAGGGCCCAGGCGAGTCACCCTCCCCACATAAGGCAGCGCCATTGGAACCTTGGAAGCTCCACAAAACAGTCAGCGCCGACTAGCCCTGGGACACCCAGAGCTTTCTCAGAGATGGGCTTAGTGAGGGAGTCTAAGTCTCGGCCCAGCCCACTCAGTGGAATGACAAAGGCTGTGTGGACTTGGAAACTTTGTCCTAAAAGGCGGATACACTGGACCGTTCCCCAAACCTTTGCTGCCTCCCTCCTACCCAAATCATGTCTTGCTCACTCCAAGTCCCTCCTCTGACTCTGGAGCGAGCGCTCAATCTTGTTACCTTTCAACTTTAAGGCATTTTCTACATAGTTTTTCTAAGCAAAAAAGCAATAAAAATTGAGGTAATTCTGTAGTTGTTCACACTGGAAGGTGAGCCACATCCAGATGAGACAAGCTCTCACTCGCTCTTGAAACCCTATGGATGGGATCAATGTGCGCATGATGAGGAAAGGCCATTGGGCTAATGGACAGAGAGTGGAAGTGGTGGCATGTCCCCGATGTCCCACTGGAGGCACAGGTCCCCCTGCCTCCTCCATTTGATGCAAACCCCTGAAAGGACAGGGAGCCGCAGCCAAGGGGCTGTGTAAGTGGACACAAAGGCCAGACAGAAGCAGGCCACAGTTTCACGAGTCAGAAAGAAACACAGCATTGAGTCAGCAGCAGCAGCAACAGCAGTGGCAGCACAGGGAAGCCCCCAACACACTGCCAGAAATCCGGGATGGGGTCACCTGGCAAGTCAATGCACAACTGCATGCCCCGAGATTCCCTTTGGCCTTGCCTTGATAGGTTGGCTTTTGTAAGGGGAGAGGGCAGCTTCCCGTTGTGAAATGCAGCTTCAGCCTGAAGGGATGTAGTCCCACAAGGCGGTCACCATAGCGAAAGGGTAACATTCGCACTCGTGCCTTGGGCACCTCCAGCACCATGACGGATCTTTGCCCCTTTACAAGCCATCCCTGCCCAGGTCCCAGAACCTCATGAGAAGCCAGTGTCCCTAGGCCCGGCCTCGACCAGGAGCCTGCCCTGTGGGAGCCAGCCCTGCCACTAGGCACAAGCTCCCAAGGAGATAGCCGAGCACTGAGGCTCGGGAGGAAACAGATTCACCCGAGAAAGAACTCAGGAAAAGTCAGGGGAGTTTTCCATAGAAAGAGAGAACAGTAGCCCAAGGCAAGCTCCATAGGGTGTAGGGCATGCGTGGTAGGAGGGCAGAGGCAGAGTTATAAACGGGCCGGTTACTTGACGAGGTCTTGGCAATGGGTGCATCAGGATCCGGGCGGGACAGCCACTGAACCACGTAGTTTTTCTTGGAAGGGTCAGAGATGTTTCCTGGAGGGAAGAGAACAAGGTTGCAGCAGCTGGCGCAGAATGCCGGTCCTCCCCACTCAGGCTGAGCTGCCCCACATCTCCCAGAGCCCTGGGATGGTACCCACCTCCTGAGTGGCATCCAGGTCCTTCCTCACAGTCATCTCCAGCCTTCTACCTCTCAACGTCTAGTGTAGCTGAACCCCAGGTCTCTCACTGCCCCATATGCCTTTCTCAGCTACCCTGCTCTCCACACTCTCTACCCAGTGACCCCATCTCTAAGCAACACCCTGACTGTCCATCAGGGACACCAGGGTAGAGCAGCATGGTTGGAGACTGTGAGAACTCTGGGTCCAAGCAGGTTGGTGTAAATCCTAGATCTACCCTTTGGCTTTCAGCTGTAGGAGAGAGATCTGATCGCATCCTCACCAACAGCTTCTTTTACTCTGTGTAACGTCTTGAGCTGCTGCAGGGACCAAAGGAGGTGATGCAGCTATAGGCAGGCATCTGTACTCAGGGTCGGTCTGTCCTTCAGTTTAGTACTACTGTGCTTGCACTTTGAGTCTGAGCCTGTCTCTAAACTGACAGCAGGTACCAAGCTGAGCAGGGCCATCTCCATTGCCTTCACTGGTCCCAAGATTATGCATGGAAATATCCATTCTTTCTGCTTGTTGTTGATGTTAAGTGCCATCAAGTCAGTTCTGACTCATAGCGACCCTGTGTGGGGTTTCCAAGAAGCCGCTGGTAGTTTTGAACTGCCAACCACGTGGCTAGCAGTCTGGTGCTATCCTTCTGAGCTCCACCCACCAAAGGACCCAGCCCTGACCCCAGGGTGTCTGGATTCTCCTTCAAGTTCACAGATGCCCAGTTCTTCCAGTTGAATAGAAGAGTTGTAGGTGCCTAAATCAACCTCTCTTTCCCATGAGTCAGCTGTGTATCTGGGGCCCAAGGCAGCAGAACACTTACGCGGACAAGGGCCAAGCCTACAGATTCGAGCTGTCTCTGGCCGCTCTTCTTGGCAGTTGCCAAAGTTGTCATCTAAGGTTCGACAGAGGACTGGCCTCTCCTGGGTGCCATTCCCGCAGGTCACTGAGCACTGTGGGTGGGGAGAGGTAACCAATTAAGAGTTATCCCTATGTGAGGTTGCCAGCCTGGAAAAGCTGGACCAGGCCATGTGGAAGTGATGAAGAACAGCTGATGGGAGGCCTGCCCTGCCTAATCTTAAACCTGGGCAGTTTCCTTAACCTCCTGGGCTCTTAAGAGGGAACACTCATGCTCTTTCTCTGAGTTATTGTGAGGTTAGAGAGTAAATACATGGTGCCTGGCACAAGGCCTGGCGCTTCTAGGCTCTTTGTCACAGTGGCCACCAGAAGAACTCTGACCAAACCTACGACCAAACATAAAGCTCTACCAACTGTGCTTTCACTGTCCCCAGTCCCTGGAACTTTCTCTGTCTTACCACATGATGGAGGGTTCAAGGAGCAGCCAGAGCTAGAGTCCAAGCATGGCTCATAGTTTGGTCCAGCCCTGACTCAAGTTCTTCTTTTATGTGCAGGTGAGGTTTCATTCAGAAAAACTCTCAATTAATTCAGAAAGCTCTGGGTTACTCAAACCTTGCACCTTCCCAAGAAAGACCTGTTTACAGAACTAGCTCTTGGCTACCTTCCAGGAAATGAATTCTTGGAATACTAGATTCTGTGAGATGTGATTTTGCATGCCTGAGGCCTTGAACCCGCTGGACCAGTTTGTCTGGATAGCATATACTAACAATGGCATTGATGGTGAACACCTGCTTTCTTTCTGGGGTTCTCTGCAGCTGCGGTTAGTCAAGCAGGTGCTATATGCCTATGTGACCCTTAACAAGTCTTAGATGTCCAGGTGAGCTTCCCTGGTTGCCTACACTTTGCATGTGCTGCCATGTGTCACTGCTGGAGGAATTAAGCATGTCCCTGTGACTCCACTGGGAGGGGGCACTTGGAAACTTGCACCTAGTTTCCTCTGAATTTTGTCCCATGTGACTTTTCCCTTTACTATATCCACTCCGTATCCTTTTGGTATAATAAAAACTGTAACTGTGAGGAAAGCAGGGTCCCTAGGTGGTGTAGTTAATGCACTCAGCTGTTAATTAAAAGGCTGTAGCTCAGAGGAAAGGCCTAGATGTTTACTTTTGAAAAATCAATGGAGCACAATTCTTCCCTGATACACTCTCCATGAACTGACTCGATGACAACTACAGACTATAACAACTTACGAGTTCTATGTGTCCCTCTAGTGAATTATGAGTCAGAGGGCAGACTTAGGGGGCTCCAACATACCAGGTCTGTGAGCTGGATGTTAAGCCAATATCAATTCTAACTTTGACCTGGACTTGGCTGTTGCTCAGCCTATGACCCTATTACTGTCCCTTCAGCCCCTCAATCTGGCCTCACTATTCTGTCCAGCCTCAGTCTAGGTACTCCCTTGCTCATCTCTGCTCTTGTAAGCTGGGGGTGACCTTCTGGACTGCACTTCCAGCCTCTGAGTTGAAGACCTCAGGCCTGCCCCAGCACACATTGGCCCTGAGAATTCCATCATGCCTTGGAGCCCAGGCTGCCCTCAGTTTCCTGAGGTGCCCTGTGTAGTGAACACAGTATCGACTAGAACTAAGAGCCCATTCCACCTGGCTTCTCAACATGGCACTGACCACCCTCTGGTACCCTGAAAGCATGGAGATGTGGCCCCAGACAGCAGCTCTGTCCAGGCTCTGTGCCAAAATGACCATCCTGACCACCCCGGGCCCACCCGAGCTCTTTTGGGGGTTCAGGAACCAAGGATTTGGGGCCTGCTTACCTGGGACCAGGGTCCAGCCCGCCAGCGGCCAGGGCAGAGCTCACGGTTGCAGGCCCGGCGGCCCTCAGGTCTGGCATCATTGCAGTGCTTGGTGTGCACAGAGCGGTTGGTGTTGTCGTGCAGAGGTTGGATGCAACGCACGGAGCGGGATTGCATGCCCATCCGCCCACAGCTCTGGCTACATGGCTCCCACTCGCCTGTCACCCATCTGTCAGGGCAGAGCAACTCAGTCAGGGTCAGCCAGGTCACACTCCAGAGCCACAGAGAGAAGGTGATTTGCTCACCTTTCCTAGTTCTCACAAGGTGTGGAGTACACTGCACCCCTACACAGAGGGGAGACTAAGACTCAGTTGTCCCAGGACCTGTGGATTATGAATCTGGAGGTCCACCCTAGGAAACCCTAGTGAGGAACGCTTCCTGCAAGCCCTGTCCTCTGGGTTCATCTTCTGCTGACGTCACGGACCCTTCTGGACTGAATGTGGATGCCCTCAGCTTCCCAGCCCCCAGAGCCTCACCTGCCTATTTATCAACCCTCTTCCCTGCTCAGTGTTGTGAAAGGAAACTGGACCCAGAAATGCAGTCCTGACTGCTAAGCAAAGGGCTGAAGATCCAGGCCACAGTTGCCTCATGAACTGCTTAGGAAACACCATCCAGCACAGGATGGTGAGCAAGTCCTCCTGATCCCCTCTGAGGCTCAGGTTCCACACTGAGCAATCCCATCAGTTGGTTGTCATTTCTAATATGCACATCACTGCTTGTTGGGTAGCAAGGCTGAACTGCGACACTTCTTAAAACAAGTTTGACTGTGAAGCATGATATGTGAGAAACGAGCCCCTCAAATGCCTCAGGGTGCCCATCTTAGAGCCTTTCATCTCCCTTCACAAGAGCCCTTTGGCTCTACCCCAGGCAGAGCCCTCTGGGACCCAGGCAGGTAGGGGAGACTCAGCACTCACATGGGTTGGGAGCACTCTTCTGGGTTGCAAGCGCGGCGAATAGCTTTGGGTTTCTCCACAGCATCACAGAAGCTTCGGTGAACCATCTTGTGATCTAGCTTCCTGCGGCAACCATACTTGGTGAATTGTGATCCTGAAGACAGAGAGTATGGGAGCTAGACCAGGCAGCGAGACCCCTGCTCTGGACGCAGAGAGTTCCCTTGCTCCCTAGATCTGCTGATTCCCTCCCTTCTTGAAGGTTACACAAAGGGCCGGTTGAGTATGAGTTGCCTCTGCCTGAAGCTAAGAGCTGGAGTGTGAGTATGGAAGGAACTAACTTCTTCCCCTTCACTGATTTCCTGCACAGCCCACGAGGCTCCATATCCTCTCATAGATCTTGGTTAGCTAGTGCATCTTAAATTAATATGGATAGATGGTCTTAGTGGAGCAGGAGCTGTGTGAACACTGGGGAACAAGGCCCACACAGCACCTTTCCCCATAGTCTAAAGTGCTGATTCTCCACCGACGGTGGTTTGTCCCTCCAAAGGCCATTTGACAATATCTGGGGCATTTTTGGTTGCCACAGTAGTTGGTTGTATTACTGGCATCTAGTGGGTACAGGGTATGGATGGTGTTAAATATAATCCCTGCATAGGACAGGCCCCACAACAAAGGTTTATCCCTCCTCAAATGTTGAGAATGCCTTAGTTGAGAATGCCTTAGTTGACACAGATTATAAGCAGCAGCCCGGCCCTCACTTTCCATGCTCAGCCGTCTCCTCCCACCTTTCTTTCATCAACCCCAGGAACCAGGGTCTCACTGACAACTCAGAACTTCCTGTCCATCTGTGTGTTCACCCAGTCATAAATTCTTTGAGGTTCAGAGCAGGTAGGGCCCCTGGGTGCCAGTCCTGTCCCAAGAATGCCAAGGAGGGTTTCTGAATGAGCAGAGGAAAGGACTCTCTAGCATTGGTCCCACCATCTGTTCCCAGAATGGCCTGAGGTTTGCAGTTCCCCTGCTTCCCCACTGCCTGGTGTCATGAGGACTCCCACCACCCAGCCCTTTCCCCACCCCCATACTGTGCAGGACCCAGCATGTTGACCTCCTCAGTGACCCTATGCCCTTCTTTCAACCTTTGGCATGATGCTTTGACACGTGCCCTTCTTGGCTTCTCCCAGGCCTTGTCCACACAGGCTGGGGGTCTTTCCACCTCCTGCACAGGCACAGAGTCTCCGGCCTTGGCTGCAGTCAGTAGAAGCTTCTATCTGCTCAGGAGGCTCCTTGACTGCTAGCCCTGTGGCCTCTCAGGACCCAATCAGGCTGCTCGCTACTCTGTCCTTGCATCATGCCACCACAGCCCTGCTCGGTGCTACTAAAGGCACAACCCCACCTCCTTTTGGTCACTCTGAGGCCCCATGGCCTAGGGACCCCAATGCTAAGAGCTCTCACCTCCACCACAGGGTTTGGAGCAGGGGGACCACTTCTTCAGAGCCCACTCATAGTTCATGGAGTCCTCTTCCAGGACATTGTTGTCGTCGACGTTGAGGGAGTCCTCATGGATCATGTATTTGTAGGTCAGTGAGATCCGGGTGTCTCCCTGAGGGGTAACCTGAGCCCACCCCAAGACGGTGTGAGTGTTGACTCCATTCTTTGCCCTACTTTGGTGGCCACTTTAGAGCTGAGTCAGAGACCAAGGTCACCCTCCCAAGTGAGCAGGTGGTATCTCCCTCAACATGTCTCCACTCTCCCGAGCTTCCTAATGACCCCTGTTGGTGAAGGACAAGCAGTTTTGTCACCTGTCAGTAGGCAAAGGGGGCTCCACAGGCAGCCTTCCTGTCTGCCTATCTGACTCAGGGCTCTGAGCTGAGGCACAGGCACCCACTGGGCCATCCAGACAGAGCTCGAGAGTATTGTTAGTATGGCTTGTACACTCACAGAGGGCCTCTTTGGGAGCCAGAGAGGTGGTTGCAGATGAGGAAGCACGCCTGGCCCTGGGTCACACCTGTTCTAGAGTTGTCTGCTCATGTATGCAGTTTGGATGTCTAGGTGCTACGAAACCCAATCACAGTGACTCACCATAGGGAGTATGGACATTAAAGGGGACTTTAGCCTTATCTGTGGTGTTTTAATTAATTTATATTTTAAAACAAATAAAATATATTACTTAGGCAATGAACGTTAATTTTTACAAAGTGATTAGCTGATCCAGCCACTCTTAACTGCCTATAATCAAGAGTATTTCCACAGCCCCATACTAACATCTCTTAGACTCAGAAACCTGAGGTACAGTCCTGTTTGGGGGTGAACCCAATTAGGACCTAAGCTAGTTGTCTCCCTTCCTGAGCCCCACTTGTCTGTTTCCTGGTGTTGCAGGGTTTGCACGTGATAACAAATATAAATGAGTGTAACAAACAGTGTCAAGGAGTCCTGGTATGGTGCTGTGGGATAATGCAATGGACTGTAAGTTCACTTTGAACGGCAAGGTTAGTGGTTCAAATTCACCAGCTGTTCCTTGGAAACCCTTTACAGGGTCGCTATGAGTTGGAACTGACACGACAGTACTTCACAACAACAAGGGGGATTAAAACCCTTAGGGTCAGAGTTTGTCCAAGGTCCCCAGGAGTCAGCAGCAGAGCTGAGATCCCTGACTAAGGCCCCATATCTGTTCCTTGCTCTGACATGGAGCTGGAGATCTTGGTCCAAAGGGCAGGCCAGAGGGGTCACTCAGATCATGGCCTGAAGTGTGCCAGAAGGACGGTCCCTCAGAGCCCACCCTGTCCCAGCAGCCACCTGCACTCCTGCCTAGGTAGGTCTGTGCCTCTGGGGGATGGGAGACAGGCATGAATAGGAGCTCACCAGGACAGTAATGGTGCCGTGGAGGGGGCCTATGGTCTGTAGGGTCTCCCGTCCGTCTTCGTCACGGTATTCCCACTCCACACCCATGGCAATGAAGGACTTGGAGTTAGGAGCCACATCATTCTCTTCATTTAAAATGAACTTGCCCGTCTCCAGGTTCTTGACAGCTGAGAAGGCAAAAGGAGCCCACCCCATGGTGACCCAAGGGCAGGATTCAGGCTTCTGTTAGGAGGTCTGGCAGGTTTAGACAGGCAAGAGGAATTCTCAATCTTAAAGCCTTCTAAGACCTAACCTTTAAATGCTGTTATAGCCCAGTATTTTCTAGCTTGACTTGCAGTTCCATTCTCCTGCTCCCTGTCCACCTAAGAACCTCCCTCCACACACCTTCTGAGACCTGTGGCCAGAATAGGTAGGAACCTGCAGGCACACAGAGACCCAGACAGAGGCTTCTGAACAGAGGCCCTCACCTCTCCGGGCTTCTGTCTGCCAGGGATCTGGTCATATCACTGACAGTCCAAATAGCTTCTAGAACCTTGTCCCATCCTCTGTGCTCTACAGGACATAGAGCTCCCTGAATTTGTGTCCTTTGGGGCAGCCAGTGCCCTTTCTGGAATCTGCCCCCGCCAGGCACTGGCTGCCCAGCTCAGCAGATGTATAGGCCTATATAAGGGCACTCATGGGCATGTACAGACTGATGCTCTCCCTCTGAAGCAGCCATCCTGGGCAGGTTGGCAGTGAGGCCTCTCCATGGGGTGTGCAGCATGTGTTAGGTACTAGGGCACAGATTGCTAAGAAACTTGCATGCAGGCTAGGGGGCTTCCTGCCATGGTGGTGAGGATGTTCCAGCTGAAAAGGCTGGGTCTCTCCACCACTTCAGTTGATGTGGCTCCACTCAGGCTCCAGCCTTACTTCTATTGGAGAGGCCTGGCCAGATCAAGAGAGCCACACAGAATGTCTGGTGAACATCCATAGGAGTGTCCAGAAACCTGACGGGTCAGGTCCACTGCCCCAGTACCACCAACTACCTTTTCCCAAAGCATGGAATTCAGGCTCCTGGTGGAAGTCAGAATGATTCTCAGGGGTACAAACCCAGCATGGAAATCATGGATCACAGAGTACAAAAGCCATCCCCTTCACTTGTCTCCGGGGATGCTCTTTCCACATCACAGAGAAAGTCTGGGCTTGGTGCCAGCGGATCTTTAACTCTACCATTTTCTACCTTGAGTCAAAAAACAATATTTGGACAGAAGTGTCTTTTTCTCAGGAATTGATTCTTACATTTACCTTATACTTAAGGCAAGTGGTACTGGTTTTGTATTTAAGTGAGTGAATTAAAGTTTCTGCTTAAAATGAGAATGAAAACTGAGAAAACTCCCTCAGGCATTTGTGGGAGTGTTGGAAGAGGGCATTTGGAAGCCCCTAACCTGCCAGCAGCACTGTGGGTTAATGCACTGGACTGCAAGGTCAGTTTGGACCACAAGGTCGGAGGTTCAAGCTCACCAGCTGCTCCTTGAAAACCCTATACAGGGTTGCTATGATTCAGAACTGACTCAATGGCACTTAACAACAACAACAATCTACCAGTACTGAACTGCAAGATTGGTTTGAAGGGCAAGACCAGTGGTTAAGTTCTACCAGCTACGTCTCGGAAACCCTATAGGGGGTCATTATGAGTCAGAACCAACTCAAAGGCACTTAACAACAACAACCTACTAGCTGCTCCTTGGAAACACTATACAGGAAACACTAGCCATGAGTTGGAGCTGACTCGATGGCACTTAACAACTACAAACCTAGTCTCTAACTTACCTCAAGGAGAAAGATTTACAGCTTCAGAAATTGTATACAGGGTCACAATGAGTCGAAACTGACTTGATGGCACTTAATAACAATAATAACCTAATCTAGCTGCCAGCAACAGTGACCAAGATGGAGCCCAGACTGGAGGGAGAGACTAGTGGTCCGTCCCCATGCTAACATCAGCCTCATGCTAACTTGGAGGGCAGAGCTGGATGCCTTCAGGGAAGAAGTGTGCAGATGGGTGAGGCCACTGAGAGGGGTCCCAGGGCAGACTGAGTGAGCTTATGCCTGGGGACAGGCGCACCCAGAGTTGTTAGATCCTCCAGGTCTTCAAGATGTCAGATATTTGTATTTTATGTGGAATCTCTTGAATTTAAAATTAAACTAACTGACAATATATCTGCACACTGTCTGAATCCATCAGCTGACAGGACTCACTGTCTTCTGACTGAAGTGGCAGAAGAAGGACTTCCCAGGCCCAGCTACCTGCAGATGCTGCCTACCTTCCTATGGGCAGGGTTTTCCCATGGTGAGGACAAGGCTTGAAACTCATGGGCTAGGGAGTCATCAGTTCTATGGATGGGGGACATGGCCTGGACACGTGTCCTTTCCACAGCCACTGTTGGGGAGCCCTCTGATTCCAACCCATGGCCTCTCCACTAACTCCAGAACGGCCCACCAAGTGGGCTGAGTCAGGGGAAGGTGGAGGTGGGGCTAACCTCTGGGCTTTCTGCCCACTCTTGGAAGAGCCACGTCTTGGATACACCAAGCTTCCTGGCATAAAGATAGTTTAATTGTCAGTTGGAAGGGCTGGACCTTCGAGACTCACCCAAATGATGGCTGGTGGTGTCCACCTCCTGGATGAGCAGATGTCTGGCTCCTGTTGGGATCTCGAACATCTTGATGTAGCCACCTTTGTTTGGGTATGGAAATACAAAGGTAAGTAGTACAGAGGCCCACCTGAATGCAGACAAAGCAAGGAGGACCCAGCCCCTTGAAGGCTCTCTGAAGGCCCTGGTATTTCTGGAGTTTGAAGAAACCAACCAGAGGGGCCAGCAGGAAGCTACTGTGTTTTTGTTGGTGCTATAAATAAGTCAGGAAAGCATCTTCCCTTACGTCTTTTGACCAGCTTTAGAATCACATCCTAGACAACCCCTCAGCTCATGGGATTCCTGTGGATGCCTGGAAAGCCCCGTGGGCATGAATCCAAGAGGTCCATGTCTAAGAGGGAGGCCCTCCACAGATTACCCAGTCCCTGTGGCCTTAGCCCTTTAATCTGTAGAAGGAAGATGTGGGACTCGCATGGTGCCATGGAGAGGGTTGGCCCCAGCACCTGATTTCAAGGGTATTCCATGCTACAGGCTCTAAATTAACGTTGCTTTTCCCCACTTTAGAGGAAGATCAGTGCAGGCACAAATGGATTCAGTTGGCTTCTGTGGTCTTAGCAAGAGGACAATGGTCTAGCAGGAGGCCCAACTCAGGGGAGGCTCACCAGAGGACTATTTTCCCAAAGCCTACCTCTGCAGAAACCCCAACTTCCCCAAGCCCATTCTGTGTCCAGAGAAGACAGATCTACTGGCCTGAGGCTGCAGACTGCACTGACTTGCCCAGAGAAATCCTGCTGATAGTTAGCAGTGTTGGGGGGAGAGGAGGGGGTGCGCAGGATTGGTGATAATGGGAGCAAGGGACAGACAGGTGAGGCCAGACGCCCTCAAGGGGTGGTGAAGAGGTACCTTTCTGCAGGCCCCTGCCTCTCAAATAAAAACATCTAAAACCCAGCCCCTGCACCCTATAGGCTAACCTTTACCCTAACCCTGTGACTCCTAAGCCCATTCTCCTTGCTCCCTGTCCCTCAAGTAGCCTGGTTCTAATTGCCCTGACTGAGGAGTCTCCCTTCACACACCCTCCCAGACCTTGGCCCAGAGCAGTTATGAACCTGTAGGCTAACAGAGGCCATGCCACGCACAGGTGCTGCAGGTAGGTGCTCAGGCATTGAAATGGAAGGGCAGGCTCACCATGTTTCTTGGGCGAGCGCGTAAATGTTCCCTTGACCACTTTGCAGTGACTGTTGTCTCCTCCACATACGCCGCATTTGTCCTCCTGCTTGCTGGAGCCGATCACCCCATCACAACCCACCTTCTGCAGGAGTGAGGAGACAGGGAAAACTCAAGATCCCTCCCTCACTCTGGCCCTGGCCTGGCCCTGACCCCAGGATCCCCTAGAATCTCTAGCCCCTATTCTCTCTTGAAGTCCCAAAGTCTGCTCCTCCTTTTCAGCCCTTCAGAATGCAGTGGATGGAGACTGGGCTGGAGGGGGGGGGGGAGGGGGGAATGGGACAAGACAGGCTCCTATGACCTTGGTCACCTCCCCTAGCCATCCCTTCAGTCCTCAGGAAGTGTGGCCATCAGAAAGTTCTGTGCAGCTGGAATAGAGTCCTGTCTCCAGCTCTTCCAGCTGGCTTCACTCAGTTGACCTTTCATGCTCTTTCTGTCCTTACTGCTGTAAATTAAAGGCCCAGTCCCAACACTGCCATTGCCCCGAGGTGCCCTATAGCTCACTCCTCAGAAGGATCCTTTGTAGGGCTCCCCACAAAGCTGAGACCTGAGTCTTCAGTCTTCCTCTACACACTTTATAGGAAACCAATGCCCCCTGTAGTATATCTGAGGCTGTCTGGGCAAGGGACAGCAAGCATTGCTGGGAACATTTCTCTTCAAACATTATTTCAACACTCTCATTCCAGCAGCTAAGAGTAACCACATTTTGGAGACCAAACACCAAGTGAATGGGGACATGCCTGTCTCCAGGGGCCCTTGGAAAAGCAATAGCACATTCAGAATTTTTCATCTCTGGGGCCAGGCAGCATCCATTTCCAGGCCATGGTTGCTCCATGGTGAGAAGTCCGACATGCTGGTGGTATTGGGAACTCCACTGATCCCACTCAAAGTGCAGTGGGGAGGAATCGCCTCGCCTCTAGGCTGCTCTTTCCTCTGCTTGTCCCAGAGTGCTCAACAACATCACAGTTTTCCATCTTGGCTCTGGCTGCCAGGAAGCTCAGAGCGAATTCTCCCCTCCAGATTTCTTCTACTATTACTTCCAGAGAAGCTGACTTTCTTCCCTTTGCTCTCTGATTTTTGACTCTTGTCTTTCAATGACCTTTGGGGGTAGAGCTTCTTGACAATGAAGGGCTACAGAACAATGGTTAAGCCATCACTTTTAAACACATGGGTAGAAGTTTATGACCTTTGGTTTCATGGACCTAGTATTTGTATTTGATCATAAGCTTTTGGAATTATTTTTGGAAGTGAGCAGAGTACAAAACTATCAGTAAAAGGCACACATTCATTTTCATTTTAATGATTTTACCAAATGCAGGCAATATGATAAAAACAAAACAATCCATTGCAGTCAAATCAATTGTGACTCTTAGCAAGGCAGCAGGCTACCAAAACCCAGCCCACTGCCACTGAGCTGACTGTGACTCACAGTGACCCTGTAGAGGGTTTCGGAGACTGTCAGTCTTTACAGGAGCAGATAGCCTCAACTTTCTCCAGTGGAGTGGCTGGTGGGTTTCAATTGTCCACCTTGTAGTTAGCAGTCCAGTGCTTATCTAACAGCACTACCAGGACTCCCTTCTAGGCAAAATAATAGGGAAAAAAAAGAATTGGTCTTTTACGGCATGGAAACCTGAGCTTAAAGCAAGATCAACTGCTTCCCGGCTGTGTGATCTCAGAGGGCGCATTACACAATCCTCTGAGTGTCTCCACATTTGTGATATGTGCAGGAGTTTCTAGAAGGGTGATAAGTAAAACATCAATAAAGGGTATGAAGAGAAGGAGGAGGGTGGGGAAGAAAAGGAGACAAAAGGTGATCAAGAGGAGGAAGACGGAAGGCAAGAAAAGCAGGTTGCAAAGAAGAGGAGAAGGATGCTGAGGAGGAGGAGGAAAACTAGATGAAAGAGAAGAAAGAAGATGAGGAAGAAGAAGAGGAGGAGGAAGAAAAAAAGGAGAAGGAAGAGGAAAGGGAGAGGGAAAATCCCTCTCTTAGGCAAGGTGGTTCCCTCCCTGCTCTACTTTCCTGCAAGTGGGGGAAATTGCCTCTGCTCCAGTCTCTAACCTGGAGGAGGGATTAGTGTTCAGGTTTCTAGTAGTTTCTCTCTCTGTCTGCTTATAAAGCAAACTGGAGGAGGCACAAGTTTCAACAGCAAGGGCATCAGGCTATGCACACTAGACACACAGGGGCAGTGAGGGAAGGGGCGCTCCCTGACTCTGAGCCAGATGTGATGGAAGCCTGCCCAGGTGAGATCATTGGACTTAGCCTAGTATCCACTCTTATTTGGGAGTTCGTCACTGATACATTTCCTCTTCATAAAAAGAGTTAGAGCTAGTTGACACCCAAAGACATAATAAGTGAAAATTCAATGCTTTGCAAAAGCAAGAGGCTATCTGGACATATGAAACAATAAAACAACATGTTCAATTTTAAAATAGTTGCTTTAAGGAGGATTTTGTTCTGTGTTTCATAGAAGGGCAAAAGGAAAACCGAATACATGAACTACTTGATCTGTCAAACTGCGAAGGATCAAATGGACTGCAATCATTTTTCCTTTATTCTAAGACAACTTTATTGTTGTTGAGTGTCATTGAGTCAGTTCTAACTCATGGCGATCCTGTGTAGGTTTTCTGAGAAACAGCTGATGAGTTTGAACCATTGACCTCATGGTTAGCAGTTTACTTTTTCTGAAATAAGAAGTAGCTAGTTATTAGTAAAAAAACGCTTTGCCTGCCACCTAGAGGACTCTCTTTGTCTGGGAACCTGAGGTGGTGTGGCCAAGGCCCAGGCCTAAGTCCAGGCAAGCATTGTTTGTCCCTGGCTTTGTGATCTTCTGTCTTTGGCACGTATCTACTGTCTACTGGCCTTTAGGAGAAACTTTTTAATGAGTAGCATTCTGTAACTGAATTAGGGGATGGGAGTGCAGAGGTGATACTGAGTGTAATCCAATAGAAAATGTCAGGGCAGCCCAGATTCTCCAACTCACCTGAAATCCCACCTTAGATCCTAAAGCGGAACTAAAGGGACCCAGATAACAGGTCAGATTGGGATGCCATGGGTCCCACTGGCTCTGCATGGCTGCTGCCAGCCACCAACAGTGACCGAAGACATGACAGCTTAGATTCCACACCAGAGCAAGTCCAGGGGAAGGAGGTGGTAGCAACTGTGGAGTTTCTGTCATCATGGGGAGAGGGGTATATTTAATAATTTATCTGTTATAAAATCCTATTGATTAGTATCAGGAGAGATGCTAGTTTATTTCCATTTTTCCCTTTTGTATAATTGTGTTTAGATAACATAGTTTGGTAGCATATTTTTACTAGACTGGGGTAGTGTATTGTACCCTTTATTAAAGCAAAGTTACTTAATGTTGTTAAATAGATTCTAACTCCTAGAAGCCCTGTATATAAGGTCTCATAGGCATTAAATATTAGAGGGAGCAGAAATACTAATCTTTCTCCCGAGGAGAGACTGGCGGGCTCAAATTGTGGACCTTGTGGTTGTCAGTCCAGTGTTTGTCGTATAAAACTACATAATGGGCCTCGTTTAATTCTTGGATTCTATTTGATTCCCTGTTCTGTGTGGGTCTTTGTTCAACTCATAGATCTTTTGCTGTAATTCCACTTTTAACCTTACTAAATCATTGTGTTTTGATAGTCTATAATTTTCAGTATCCACTTGAATATTATTTTTGATTCAGTATTAAGAATTTCACATTCATGTGTATTGTTATAAATGATACATTTAATCTCACTGTTGCCCTTTTGGTGTATATTTTTAATCTTTCCTTTCTGTCTCATTTCTTTTTTCTTTTGCAATATGGTCATCATCTATATATGTAAACAAGGAGCTCTGGTGGCCTTGTAAGATAAGCACTGGACTGTTAACCATAAGGTCACCACTGTAAAGATACATAGTCTCAGAAATCCTATATAGAGTGGCTATGAGTTAGAACCAACTCCACGGCATGCAGCAATATGTAAATACGTATGTTCTCTATTCAAACTATTCTGCTTTTATCCACTTGAAATTACTATTAATGAAATAGTCAACCCATTGCTCTTTGACCATTGATGTTAGGAATGAAGCTAGTCTTTTAGCTCCTTTTGGTGTGTTTGCAACTACATTCAGGGCTGTCACCTAAATCTAATTTGACTAACTGTTAGAAAATCTAATTCTACTTTTCCCTGTGCTTGCTGATTGTCCTTGGCTATCCTGACATGGGTGTGGGATATTTTGTCCTGCCCTCTGGGAGCTGACTAGGTGGTTTAGCCCCCAAACGAAAGGCCCTGCCTGGTCCCCTGGCACCCACTGCTGTGGCATCTTGGAGGAGCTCTTCACAAGCAGCACTGAAGGAAGAGAAGCCTGGCAGTGTACGCTCTGGCTGCCTGTGTCTATCTCCACATGCTTCCAGCCACCTCTCCACATCTAGGTGCTTGTGAAGTTCTGTAAGGCTCAACAGAGCTTCCTGAAGACACTGCCATTCCTTAGGATGGTCGGACACGTCAGCTCGCTGTAGTATCCACCGTCAGTCCTGTCTATAACAACCTAGCGGAGACTTAGAGTTGTTTCTAGGGGAATCTGGCAGGGACGAGTCTGTACTCATGAGGCTTAGGCTACCTCATAGATGGTTCTTGTGGCCACCTAAGGCGGGAACCCAGGCCATAATAATGAAGGACAGCCCAACACAGCATTTCACTGAGGACCAAGCTCTCTGGACATTCTCCTGATGGCTAGCCTCAATCCAAATCACAAAGTTCAGAGCTCAGCAGAGTGTAGGGATGTAGCAGTGTGCCACTTAAGGATCAGAATCACCTGGGGTGCTTTAAAATTTCATGTTCCCAGGTGATGTCCCAGACCACAGAATCAGAATATCTGAGGTGCAGCTCAGCTCCCCAAGCTACCCCTAGGTATACTCGAGTTGCAGAGCCTCTATGGTGTGAGCGAGTCCCCTCACTTTTTTGAGAGTCCACTTCTGTGCCTGGTGCTGCTCCCACACATTGTGTGCTTAACTTCAGTGAATCTTCCCAAATGCCCCAAGAAGGAGAGGTTCACATGGGGCCCCAAGATGCTATGCCTCACTGCCCACACTCACCTTGCAGTCCCCGCGCACACAGAGACTGAAGGCATCCTTGTAGGAGCAGCGTGTCCCGTCGTGCACCATGCGCTTCATGGACACCACCTCCCCAGTCTCCTTGGACTCGCAGTGTAGGTGGCAGCGCTCTTTGGCTGGGGAGAAACAACAGGTGTGGTGAGGAGCCCCTACGACATTCTCAAGGTTGCCAAGAGAACCACAAGTGTTGTCTCCCATGGGGCCTGCTTATGGTTGATATGCCCCTCTCCAGGCTGCCTCACCCTTGGTCTGGGAGAGAAAGAGAAAGGGAACAGATGACTCCAACTCCCAGTGTTTCTGAGGCCATGACCCTGATTTCAAAGACATTTCTCTAAGTGGGAGTCCCTGGGTGGAACATACTCTTGCCAACTAAAACGTTGGCAGTTCCAACCCACCCAGAGGTGCCTCAAAGACAGACCTGGTGATCTGCTTCCAAAAATCAGCCATTGAAAGCCCAGTGGAGCACAGTTCTCTGACACACATGACATCACCATGAGTCAGAACCAGCACTGATGGCAATGGTTTTGTTTTAGTTTTCCCACATAAGTGAGTGAGGCTGCATTGAGTTCTCTGATCCCTGAGGTCCTAGCCAGAAAGTCCTGACACTCTCTGTGGAAAGATAAGGTTTGCTTGGTTTTGACTGAAAGAACCCCTTTACAGTTGGCTTTCTTTGGAAGCCTTAAGCCTCCCTTGATTCAGCCTCTGGTCCCTGCTCCTTCCTCCTCAGCATTACCTCAGAGGCAGCCAACGCACTTTCTATTATTTGATGTCCTTTCACTTTTTCCACCAGACTGAAGCCTCCAAGAAAGTCTCATGGATTGAATAGTGTTTCCCCCCCCAAATTCATGCCCACCTAAGTCCTCAGAATGTGACCTTACTTAGAAATAAGGCTTACCCAGTGCAATTAGTTAAGATTCATGAAGTCCTAAATGCAAATGACTGGTGTATTCCTAAGAAGAGGTGAAGACACACAGAGAAACAGAAGACAGGAAGGTCAGGTGAAGATGGAGGCAGAGATTACAGTGATGTTGACACAAGCCAAGGAAAGCCTTTGGGGCACCAAAAATTGGCAGAGGCAAGAAAGGGTCTTCCCCTAGAGCAGGGGTGGGGAACCTTTTTTTCTGCCAAAACTTATAGTTATTCATGGGCCAAACAAAATTATGAACTTAAAAATCAGCCTGCTATATAAGGAGCTCTAGTAGTGGTTACAAATTGGGTTGTAAACCTCAAGGTCAGCAGTTTGAAACTACCAGCTGTTCCGTGGGAGAAAGATGAGGCTTTTTGCTCCTGTAAAGATTTACAGCCTCAGAAACCCTGTACAGGGTCGCTATGAGTCGGAACTGACTCCACAGCACATAAATATCACCACACGTGTGATGGGGTGGCACTGTAGGATCAGCACTGGACTGTGAACCACAAGGTTGGCAGTTCAAACCCACCAGCTGCTCCTCAGAAACCACAGACAGGTTGCTGTGAGTCAGAACCAATTCAACGGCACTTAACAACAACAGCAATGTGATGGCTGGATTCCTGGTGTGGTATGATCAGCATTGAACTATGAATCATAAGGTTGGCAGTATAAACCCATCAGCTGCTCCTTGGAAACCGTAGACAGGGTCGCTATGAGTTGAAACCAACTTGATGGCACTTAATAACAAGAACAATGTTATGGCTGGAACTGTGTTTTCCGTGGTAGGGCCAGACCACTCCTGCCTTAGAGTATTCAGAAAGAACATGGCCAGGCTGACAGCTTGCTTTTGCACTTTTAGCCTCAAGATCAGAGAGAATAAATTTCTGTTCTTTTAGCAATTTTTTCTGGCAGCCTTGGGAAACAAGAAGGGGGTTGTCCCGCCTACTGTGCCCAGTCCACTGGTATAAGGACAGGGGCTGGTGCTGGTCACTACAGATTCTTGAAGAGGTGATGTTCAAAGTGGCAGAGAGGCTTGCTCTCTGGCCTCTCTCTGCCACCCCAATCCTTGGGAAGAACTGAGCTATAATGCCATCACGAATGGAGGGAAAACCAAAACCCCAAACCCATTGCACTTAAGTCGGTTCCAACTTATAAGGACCCTACAGAACGGAGCAGAAATTCCCTATTGGGTTTTTGAGACTGTATTCTTTATAGAAGCAGACTGTCACATCTTCCCCTGTGTCAGGGAAGGAGACCCAAAATGTAATACAAACGTTGGCAAGTGAATTTCTTACAAATGGCTTGCATAACTACATTGAAGTGGGTAGGGAAAAGAACTAATCAGATTAACCTTGGAAAACTATCTTGACAGAAGACTCTTGGGCTAAAGACAAAAAGAAGTGTGAAAACACTTTGTAAAAGAGTCAGGATTCTGAAACTACTTTTTATGTCCGCTGGAACTGAACAAATAAACAATTGCACTGTAAATCCTAAGAGCCAGTTTTCTCGCTGTTGGAGAAAGAGGTCAGAAATAAGAAAACGGGAGGGGTGGAAACGACCACTGGGGAGCTGTACTGGAACCAGAGGGACCAGTATAAACACATGGTATGAGTATATGGGCTGTTATCGACTTTATAGTGTCCCCTTGAAATATGTATTTGAAAGCCTGGCCCATATACTTGTAAATAAGGGATTTTCTTTGTTTTGTTAATTAAGTCCTACCCAGGAAAGGTAGGTTCTAAACCTAATAACTTTTGAGGTATAAAAAGAACAGATTAAACACAAACATGTATACACTTGCACACCAAAAGACACAAGCCAAGGAACCAAGGAACACCCAGGGCCAACGATAAGAAAGGATAGACGCGGGCTTTGAACTTCTAGCCTTGTGAACTGTGAGAAAATGCATTTGTATTCTTTAAAGCCACCCACTTATTGTACTTCAGTTGGAGCAGCACTTGGAAACTAAAGTGAATGTGTTTCCCAGCTCTGTCCCCTGAGTTAGTGACACCCCAAGGGCATAAGCACCCCTAGTGCCTGCAGCACAGGTCACCTTGAGAACATAGTTAATAGATCTGTGCCTCAATTTCCCCATCCATAATTAAAGTGGATTGTCTCTTAGGGTTCCTGAGCACCCACGTAAAACACTTAGAATCATGTCTGCAACATAGTAGGTACTTGGCCAACACGGACTGGTATCATTTTTCACTTTCCCTCTGTCCCAGTGAGACTCTCCCCACCTCAGTCCCTTGAGGAGATACTGGGGCTCAAAACACTGAGAGTCCAGCCCTTCCACCTCCCCAAAAGCTAGGTGAGTGGAAAGATGCCCAGGCTTCTTATTCCACGTGGCCAGCTTTAAAGAAGGCCAATGGCTTTGCTCCTTGGATAAACTTAACTTAGAGCAGAGGTGCTGGGAGATCTGTCCTTATGGAATTCTGGGAAACAGAAACAGGCTACAGCACACAGGAATTGTGGATAAGCATCCTACCTGCTCCCACCTCCCTGTGTGATCATAGCACTCCAGCCACATCCTTTGAGAACCCACTCCTTCACCCTCTCAGCTCATGAGACTCAAGTATAGCCCTACCCTCTGACTGCAGTGGGTGTGCCCCAACCTTTGGCTGCAGTGGCTCATTCTAGGACAAGGGGCCCCATCATATCAGAAAACACCAGAACAGGGAAGTCTTTCAATTGAGATTTCTGAACTTATAGGATATGAGGAATCTGTTACTGAAGCCATTTTTGCCCCTGTAGAGTGGGAGAGATGCCAACACTGAGGAACTAAAGCTGAACGAACTAGAAAAGACTCTGGAATGATCACAAGTTTCTGGGTCCACCATGACTGAAGCTACCACACTTTCCAATGCCAACAAATTCCTTTTAAGGCTTAAACCTGTCGAGTCATACTTTTTGGCACTTACCAGTGGGAGTCCTGACTAATGGATGAGAAGCCCAGAGGTGATCTGGTTCTTTAGCAGAGGTAAGCCCCAGCTGCCTTCAGTCCCACCCCCCCCACCCCCCATTTCCGGAGGTACACCTGTGGCCTTGTCCAACAGATGACAACTGTGGGAGCTGGGCACACACTAAGCCTCCAGCCTGGCTCCCTCAGCCTTGTGTCCTTGGACAAACCCAGTGTTCTGACTCCCCAGCCCAAAGTGGACCCTGGCACCACAGCTGGCCAGATTTGGTTTTGCTGCCAACCCAGGCTTTGTCCACACCCTTGCCCCAAGCAGAATCAGGGGCAAAGAATGGTGCCAGGCCCAGGCCATCTGCCCACCCAGACCTGTTTGCTGGGCACCCACTGCCTGGAGGCTCACCGTCCCGGTGCTCGTGGGGCAGCCAATGATGCTGAGAATCGCCATGCTTGAAGTACAGGTCCCACTGGCGGCACTGCTCCTCTCGGAAGTCGGCTTGCATGTCAGGGCAGTCCTGAGGATTGCAGAGCTGGAAATTGTAGGCAAGGCCTGAGCAGGTGCGGCCCCCATTGGCTGGGCTAGAGAGAAAGCAGAGGCCTTGAGCTTGGTGCCAAGAGACAAAGGCCAGTCCACAGAGCCGCGCAGCATTTATAGGATCCTTTCACATCAGGTGTCGGCCCTGCCCTGTCCCTGCCACACAGACCCCAGGCCACTTCCCAGGTTCCAAGCCGTAGGGTCTTGGTATGGAATGGACTGGACCCCTCCATCCTGGAGTCCCTAGGAAAGGGAGTTTCTGCTTATAGGTCTGTGTGCCCCACCAGCACCATTAGATAGCTGTGGTTGTTATTGAAGCGTTGTTTGGGTGGCTGGGTGTTTGAGTCCTGCCTTCTGCACCACACCATAAGTCTAGATGACAAGGGCTAGGTGGCATTTGCTGACAGTCAGGTCTGCAGCACTGATACAGATTTGGGAACTCAGAAGTCATCATAAGCATTTGGTCCCATGAGCAGGGCTGGGCACACAGTGCTAGCTTTCTTCCTATCTCAGTGTTATGTAGGAGGCATCTCCCTGAGTCCCTCATTTCCACCCCCAACTCAGTCTGGGTGAGCAGGATGCCTCTGGAAGACAGGGTGGCCCTATTAGTAGCTGGAAAGTCTGGGCATGGTCATCCTGAACCAGGCATGGTAGACACGCAGAACTGGAGCCTCTGCTCCATCTCAGCATTGACATCTGAGCCCTGGGCTAAAGTCTTGATCTGTCTGCCACAAGGATGGCAACAGCTACTGCATGATACAGGTGATCATAAAGGAGTCAGCTTCTGTAAAACCCCTTGCATGGTATTAAGTTCTTGGGGGCAGACAGTGGAAAGGATGCAAAAATTGTGGAGAAAGAAACAATCGGCTGGGGAGAACAAAAGAAAACTAACATAGTGTGCCCAGCTCTGCATATGGGACCAAATGCTCATGGGCTCCCGCTAGCTACAATTTACAGGTGGATGACTGATGGAGTCACAGAACCAATGACAAAACCACCAAGAGCAGCATGGGAAGGAGAGAGCAGGCCTGGGTGCAGGAGGAACAAGAGCACAGATGTCTGTGCTCAGGAGCCTCCTAGTGGCCGCATGGGTTCCAAGAATCCAGAAGCTGTACTGGAAATAGTGGGAGGTGCTGGCCCATCTGAATGTTGCTAATTTGAATGTCATTTCCAAAACAGAATGTTAGCTGGCAAAATCAAAGGAGATATAGTAGGTGAAGAACTTGGAGACCGCAGATTGTTTTCAATTTCGCAATTGTAAGAGTGGGGAGAGCTAAAAACACAGACTGAATTCAACTTGAGGGAGCAGAGGGCCAGCAGCAAGCACCTCCCTACTCAGCTCCTCATGGGTTTATGTTGTAAGAAGGGTTGCTGCATGCGAGCACAGCAAACAGTAATTAAAGAAGGCGCATCCTGGTCCGATCACCATTTCTTGGAGAACCTGTGAAATGTGTGGCTACGTGGATGCGCTTACAACCTGGGTTGTTAATGAGCCTCTGAGCTCTGAGATCCATTGGGTGCTGTGGCTGTGCTGTGTGGGGCTGTGGTCGATGTAAATAAACCACTTTGGAACTGTGTTGCCACACCCATACTGTCTTATGGCCAAGGATACATGGAGGAAGTGCGGGACCTGGGCGTGGGCTGGGTGGTTCTCATATATACTGGTTTTGTGAACTGACAGGGCTGCAGGCAGTTAGGACAACTTGGCTTCCACTGTTGCTCTCCCTGTCCCTTGCTGCCATCACCAAAAAGAGCTAGGCCACAGAGGATGCCCGTGGGGAAGGTCAGAGAGACCATGTGCACTCCTTCAGGGCCAAGTCTGGTATCAAGTCCTCTGCACTTCAATAGTCCAGCCAGGGCCAGGCCCAAGTTAAGCACAGGGAGACTGGGTCTGGAAACCAGGAGTAAGGTTAGTTCTGCTCTCCCAACTGCATCCACACATAAAGGAGCAGCAGACATTAATGACATTTATTGAGTTCTTGCCAAGCACACCTGCAGTGCTATCTCTCCTGTTTGTTAGTCTCATTTTGAGGTATGTTTTAAAGTTCCCAAGGAGATCTTGAGAGTACTGGTGTGGCTCTGTAGGATAAGCACTGGGCTGCTAATTGCAAGGTCAGCAGTTCAAACCCCATCAGTTGCTCCTTAGAAACTCTATACAGTTGAAACTGACTCCAAGGCACTTAACAACAAGAACAACATGGAGCCTTGAGAATCAGGCAGAGAGCATCTGAGCCCCTTCCTGTCTCTACTCCTGGCCAGAATCACAGTGTGGAGCTCCCAAGCAAGAGGAGGACAGGAAAGAAAGACAAGATGCCAAACACAAACTGGGCTGGTGGGCACAGGTGCTCTAGGGAAGCACGTTCTCCCCCTCTGGACCACAGTCTTAGACCCCTTCCTGAGTCCTCACCCCATCAGCCTGGCCTGCTCGCATGGACTCACTTGACCCCTCTTAGTACTGCCTCTGCTGAGTCCTCCCATGGTCAGTTTAGAGTCCAACCAGACTGAACAGAGCATGCAAACTGCTACAAAGCCTGGAGTGCAAGTGACCTCTGAAAGTCAGCCAGGCAGTAGACTCACCCTAAGACCGGTAGGGCCTAAATTTTGGAGTCACAGGCTCCTCTAAGAAGTTGAGATATGAAGCTAGGGATCTGCCCCACAAAAAACAAGTGCATATGCACAAAAAATGGTATACAATTTCTCAGACCCTGGAGCACTGCTGAGGTCATGGCAGGGTGACAAACCTGAGACTGATGCTTAGGGGTGAAAGGACCCAACCAAATATCTAAGCATATTCAGGTGGGTGAAGGAGATGAGGGAAGCAGGCCAGGTGAGGCTACCCCATGAAGGAGCTTGCTGCCCACCAGCCTGTATTTGGACCCAGCGTTGCTATGGTACCCGATTTAGAAGCTGGGAATCTGTTGCTTTTTCAAAAATATGATATCTCCAGATATTTAATATTTTCAGGGAAATATATTTTTTTCTTTTTACATAGGCCACAGAAAGAAACAAACTCCACGTGTCTCCTGGCACTCTCTAGGATAGGAAGGTGAAAGATCAGAAAGATGTTAACATCGCCATTCCAGGGGCTGCACTTATAAGCCACTTACAAGCCCCAGGATGACAAGTGGCCCCAGGTCACACAGTGAGCTACAGGCCACACACTCGAGTTCCACAGCCTTTCTTCTTGACTGTGACTCTACACTGGAAGAGGTCAAGGCCAAGACTGAGGGTTGAAAACAGAGAGGTCTGGACAATAACCCAGGTCAGTAGTGGTGAGCACGTGACTAGGGAAGTGGCTGTGGACTGAGGACAGGGCATGGCCTGGGGGACAGCTATAGGATGGGGTGGTGGAATGAAAGGACCCAGGAGGAAGACAGGGCAGGAGGAACAGAAGGGGGAGCAGTTTTTGAGGCTGTCACAGTAGCAACCTCTACAGACAGGCTAGTTTGCTGAGTCCGCCCCTCTCCTGACTGAAGACAGCTGTTTGGCTATGGCAGCCACTGTTCAGGCTCCCAGCATTCTGAGGGCCAAGAGAGCCCTCCTTTTTTTCTCCTTTCTCCCTCTATTTTGCTTTCTATCCTCAGTCCCCTCGATTAGGAAGAGTGTGTATGCTGGTGTGTAGAGTTGGACTACACTACAGGTGGGGAGTGGTTGCAGGCTGGTGGGTCAGGAGCCCAGATCTGCCCCTGTAGACTTTGTGCCTGAGACATGTACTCTGCTTCTCTGAGTCTCAGCTTCTTCCTAGGTGGTGTGAGGAGTGGCCAGGGCTGCCTGTCCCTATACCCTCTCTAGAATTATTGTACAAGATAGAGCCATCACTGGGACCTCACTTGCCACCTTAGAAGGGTAAGGGAATGGCAGATCAACTCACTGTGGGTTGTCACACTGGCGGGTCCTGAACTTCACACCTGTGCCACAGGTGCGGGAACAGGAGCCAAATGGACTCCAAGCACCCCAGTTTCCGTCCCGTTTGAGGATGTCAGGTGTCAGCCAGATACAGTGTCCTTTAAAGCAGTGCTGAAAGACAGAGACTGGTGCATCAGGGGGCTGCCACTCACTCTTCAGTGTACAGCGCCTGAGATGTCTGCCTTGTGCCTGGCCCCAATGTATCTGACCCTGCCCTGCCACTAGAAGCTCAGAGCCCAGAGCTCAGACAACCAATGGCAGTTACAGGTACAGTGAGGTGTTGACCCACCCAGCTGACTCACCCCAACCACCAGTCTGACCTCCCACCACCCTTCAGTACCTTGCCCGGCCAACATTAGTTACTCAGTCAGAGTGTGTCCAGGGCACCCACACAAGGTATGTTTACAAAGGTAAACCTGGCACAAGTCTGCGATTTCAGAGATATACTAAGATCTATTCCTTTTAGATCTGTGTTGGAAGATCTAAAACAGATCTGTATTGGAAGAAGTACAGCCCAAGTGCTCCTTGGAAGCGAGGATGGTCAAACTTCATCTCTCATTCTTTGGACATATTGTCAGGAGGGAGCAGTCACTGGAGAGGGATATCATGTTTGGTAAGGTTGAGGGTCAGAGAAAAAGAGGAAGACCCCCAGTGGGATGGATTGGCAAAGTGGTAGCACCAATGGGCTCAATCGTGGCAACAATTGTGAGGTTAGCCCAGGACCGGACAGTGTTTCATTTTGTTGTGTATAGGGTCACTATGAGTCAGTACCGACTCAATGGCACCTAACAACAACAACAACATTCGTTTTGGTAAAAAAGACAATTAAAATATTATGCAAATAGAACAGGTGCTATGTTGACATGACAAAATTTTTTGAATACAGTAAGTAGATGACTGAAATATTGGAGATGCAATTCTACAACATAAATTTAATCACACTGGTTCTTTATTTGGGGAGGCTTATATAATTTAGAGGCCCACTTTAACAAGAAGATTACAAAATGCAAAATGCTAAATTAGGTATAAAATGGAATAGTGAGTTAGAATAAGAAAATACAATACAAGAAATTTTTTAAGTTTGAAGCTGACAAATACCGCACACACACACACACACACACAAATAGAGAACAATGGTGAATGAATGAGTGAATGAATCATTGACTAGCTGACATAATTTTTCTTATAAATATTCTTTGATCCCCTCTTTATATGTTAATAGTTTTGCAAGATAGTTTTCTATAACGAGAAAGGAAAGATAATGAATTAATGCCTCAGCATACTTTTTCTATAATGGCCCAGATAGTAAGTACTTTAAGCCTGACAGGCTATTAAGTCTCTGTTGCAACTACACAACTCTGCCATTGAGGCATAAAAGTGGCCACAGACAATACACACATGAATAGACATGTCTTTGTTCTAATAAATCTTTACCAAAAACAGGAACAAAATGAAAACTTCCAGAATTATGATACAAGGAGCTTGGGGCAACTGCTTCCTAGTAAAATAATCATGTAACTGGTGAGAATTCTTTTTAGACTACCAAAAACAGTTATCTAAAGTCTCTTGAAATTGTCCTAAAGGTACACAGTAAAGGAATAAATAGTTATTTAAGAAAATTCATTAAATTTTGGTAAGAACAATGAAAGTCTAGGGTACATGAGCCATCTGCTCCCATTTCCTTTCCAATTCAATTTGACAGAAGCTCTACTCTGGGCAGGTGCTTCCAAAAAGATGGGGCTCCCTAACCCCCAACTCTCAGCGTAGGGGTATGATTTCACCTGAATGCATCTCTCATCTCCTCCAAATCCAAGCTGTAGAAAGTCTACTTCAGGTGGGGGTGACCAAATGAACTGAAGTTCCCTTCTTCCACTTAGCCTTCCCTCACTGGATGGAAGCTTCATCCCAGGTACAGCAGGTCAAGGAGACTTAACCATGATAGGCTTGTCCCACCTCACTCTTAAGCAGAGGCAGCTTACCCAATAAGTAATATATGCATGCTTTTAGGGTATCAACAAAGCAGGGGCATCAGTTGTCCAAAGCGAAGACTCATAAATGCCAAGAAGATAGGACATAAGAGAAAGAGAGTACCACAGTGGAAAGGGAACTGGCAGGAGATTAAATGAGATTGGTTTTAGTTCCAGTGAGTGGAAATGTACAGCCTGAAATAAAGGTCATGCAGGGTCACAAGGGTGCCCACAAGAAACACTGTTTAAGTTATAAGGCCCCTACCACTTAAGCACCTGTCTCCTCCAGCACCCTACATTAATTGAAGCTCCTTTCTTGTCAGGTCTCTTAGGAGTATACTGTTTCTTCTTAATATATAACTTTTGCTATATTTACCCAGTATGCAACTGGATTTAACATAAGCTGTTACTGAGCAAGTATGGATTATATTAATAGATAACAGGTCTCTGATCCATTTTGAGACAATCGTTTAAGAGATCCAGCATTCATGCCAAAAATGTAGCAACGCTTTTTGTAATGATCCATACACAAGAGTATACTCTTGCGCATGTCCTGGTAAACAACCAATGGAACTCCAGTCCCAGGTGACATGCAAAAGTGAAGGAGCTCAAATAATTCTGCCATTACAAGGAACTCAATCAAGTTACTTTTTAACTGTACAACATTTACCTACAGAGGTATGTCCTAAATTTGCAAACAATATTTATAACTTTAACTTTAAAATGTTTGGCAGATATGTGGATGCAATCTAGCATACACTTAATATAATTCTAACAATGGTAATAATTTAATAAGATACTAATAGAAAATGTTAAAATACTGGAAATATTAATACTTATCTATCACAAAAGTTTAAATTTATATATCAAGTGAGTTTCATTTTTATGCAAGATACAGAGCTTTACATTACTCTACATGTGCTAATATATGAGCTATTAGACAGAGTAAAAGGACATAAAAGTCAATATTTATTTATTGTGAGATTATGTTTCTGTTTTGCAACAATGAGTGTGTTTCTATACTTGCCTTCCAAGAAATCTGCAAAGGGCGTTTATCAGAACATTACATTTATATTTTATGAGAGTATTTATATACCTCCATGTAAGGAAATTGAATAATTTCTTGAGAAAATAAATTAAATGAATATTTAGAAAATTATATAAATGCATCTTATTTTCCATTTCCCTTCAGATAGCCTTTCTTTTAAGAAATTGATTGATCCTGTTGTAACTCACAAAATGAACTTGCCCATTGGGAAGTGGTGCCATTGTTGTATCAATTATGTATGTATCTCTGAATATGGGAGTTGAACAATTCCACAAAGAAATAAGATGTACATTTTATAAATTTTGTCAGATTGAATTATGTACCCCAAAAATATGCATCAGTTTGATTGGGTCATGCTTTTCAGTGATTTGTAATGATGTAATGTGGCAGTTATGTGATGATTCCCCATGAAGGGAATCTAATGCGATAAACCAATAAGAGAATTAAGGCTGGACTGCAATACCCTTTACTTACTGATGAAGATCAAAGGCTACAGCTTTCAGTATGGGTTGCACCTCAATGGAAAAGAAAACAAAACAAAAACAGAACTCCTCACAATTGTACCAATAAGCAGCAGCATGATAAATGGAGAAAAGGTTGAAGCTGTCAAAGTCTTCATTTTGCTTGGACCCACAATTAACACTCATGGAAGCAACAGTCAAGAAATCAAACAACGTATTGCATTGGGCAAATATGCTGCAAAAGACCACATGATTTGTGGTATAATCTGGTCCTGTCCTATGACAAGTGAGCCCAAACACAAGCTTCTGATTGGACATACCCTTGCATTTGTATCATGCTGTTTTCAATTGCTCCTGCCCACATTGGGTATCAGCAGTAGTCCAATGAACTGTGAAGTTGAAGCATCATGGATGGAAAGAGAGCGCACACGTTTTTAAGTATTATTTCAAAAAGAAAAACACTCATGGATATCTGTGAAGGAACCGCCAAAAACCATTGTACAAAAAACTAATGAAACTATTTCCAACTGCCTTGGAAGTACTATTCCTTTAGATTATCTCAGACCCGATGACCAAAATTACACATTCCAAATCAATATTTTTTAAATTACTTGTTATCAAATATAAAATTTTATGTTAACATCCACATTTGAATTTTACTTGATAAATTCTACTTGCTTCATACATTTTATTTATTTTTAATAGTTCAAATTCATTTGCTACAGTGGAATCAAATTTTAAAAGTGACATAATTTTATATACAAATAAAATGAAACAGCAACATCTAAGTGGAGCACAAAAAACAAAAGCTCACAGAATATAAAAAGAAAACGATTTGTGAACCCCAAAAGAAAATTTCAAAATTAATTTCGTTTTCGAAATGTAATTGATCGGAAGAGATTCTTATGTTGAAGTTTGAAAGCTTGAATTTAATGGGTGCAAATTGTTGAACTATTAGTGCTAATACTGAAATTACTGATAGCAATAATAATCCAACAGAATTTGTCCCAAATTCTGCATCTATTCTTGTTATAGCAAAAGAAATTAATAATGGTATAGAAAGTGAGGAGTCCTGGCGTGATGCAATAGGATAAGCTTTGGACTGCTAACCACAAGGTGGGTGGTTCAAATCCACCAGCCACTTCTTGGAAACCTTATACAGGGTTGCTATAAGTCGGAACCAACTCAATAGCACTTAGTATCAACAAAAAGTGACATTATTTTTAAATCTAAAATTGCTGCATCTGCAAACACTGTGAAAAATAGAAATGAAGATGTTGCTTTGTGGAATAATTTTCATTCTAATGATGCAAATTATTATGGTCTAAAGTAGGCCAAGTGATTGTTGACACCAGAGTGGACCATTATAAAATTCACGTAAAAAAAAGTTATGGATGGTAAACAAACAACATTCCATAGTCAGAATATGTTTCTAGGGTGCAAAGCTAATGGTGAAATTTATAAAAGGAAGTGGCTACTGTATTGTCTATCAGTTAGTTCTGTCTATTGTTTTCAATATACAGTCTTAATCATTCAATTCTCAATCTGCTACAGATGGACCTAGCAATTCAGGTGATTTGAATACAATTGGTAAACATGACAACAATTCAATTTACAGAGTATATATTGTCATTT